AGTCGTCCTCGTAGTGCTAGGGCAAGTGTTGTCGCATTTGGCTTCCGCGGCTCCCTGCCGGTGAGGCTCGGGACTCGAAAGGAGCTCTTCTACTTGCGCAGCATGTGTCGGCGATGGATACTCAAGGTGCACATGGCTTGAGTGCCAAGATACTGTATGATTTGTGGACAAAATGTCTCGGTGTCGTTGCTGTGCATGGAAATTAAAGTGGTCGATAATTTTATCCTGAACGGTGTGAGTCATGCCACAGCTGCGACGGACGCCGAAACTGTTCTAGTGGCTGTGATGTATGGGATGTATTGTGTGAAGTACCTAAACTGCCGTTTCCATGATTCTGCTTCGCACAGCTGACACACAGCTGACAAGTTTCAAAAGGTTTGGGCCTGCTGATTGCAGCATTGCGACCCCAAGTGGTGGAGCTCGGCTGTGATGCGTCCGCCACAGGACAGGGTCACATTACCCTATTCTGATGACTCTGATGACTGAGCAGTGGAAAGCAGCCGGTGGGAATTTGCGTCCCAGCGGCATTGACTGCAAAGCCGACCGGCAAAATCCACTTGCCATATCAAGAATATCGTGGCTTAATCATGAAAACGTGAGCCTTGAGGTAAGGGCTCTGCCTAGTGCCTGGCAGGAGTTGTGCAGCAACTCTTTACCGTATGCAGTGATCGGCCCGCGCTGCGGGCGCAACTGACCGAGAGCCTGGGTGGATCGATCCTCAAGATGTCGAAGGACGGCACAGACCGGGAGTGCCAAGAAGAGAAGCTAGATCGTCGCATCAGTCGCATCATGCAGACAGCAGCAGAGGACTTTTTCACTCCCCGTAAGCTCCTCAAGAGAAGCAGCCATGATCGAGAGTCTAGAGCCTTGTGCTCTTGCACTTTTAACCTGCATCACTAGGCGCCGAATGATGCATAAAGCTGACGAGGACAAACATGGTTGTTTGGCCATCCAACATGCCTTGGAGATGGCTCCCCTCGAGATGCAATGCTTGATTGGATCCGAGCTGAAAGGCAAGGTGTCGCCTGGCTGTCAGTACATCATTCTTTTGGCATTAGGCTCTTTGGTGCCGGCCGCCGGACTTGCCCAAATTGCGTCGACTTTGCGTTGTTTTGCAAGGGGTTTGGGTATCACGCTCCCACCTTAGTCCTTCCCCGGCGGTGCTGTTTGTGATCCAGGTTCTATTGCAGCCGGCATATGCATGGAAACTTCGTCATGCAGAAAATCATTCAAACCCTACCGCCGTCGGCTCTCATGTTCATCATGCTCGAGCTGAAGGACTCATGCCTGCTCCACTACTGTAGCCGGAAAAGGGACGCGGGCACAGGAGACGGTGGTGGCAGCAGCGCTTCACATCTACGCTTGCCGCGTTCTTCAGCGGCTCATCGAGCACTGTGGTCACCGCCCCGAACTCCTGTCGCTACTGGAGGACCTGATGGTCCCAGGCACCAGAGACCGCGGAAACCTCGAAGTTTGCGCTGATGAGTCTCGGATTCTCCCATGAGTCTCGGAGGTGAGCAGCTCCAGCGCTTGGTAAAGGATCCGTACAGCAGCAATGTTTCTCAGCTTAAGAGGAGCAGAGTCGGAGCGCCGGGTGAGTTGCAGCCTTGATCTCGAGGTGATTCGCACACTTGTGGTGTGTGGCAGTGTGGAGAATGCTCGCGTTGTCTCTCGGACGAGGTTTGATCTAGTCTAGGTCTTCTACAGTACTACACGAGTCGTGGTCAGTTTCATCTTCCAGTGCCTGGCCTGGCCAAGGTCATGCGGCTTTTCAGCGAGGATGTGATGAAGTATTCACGCAACCGGCATGCGAGCCTCGTGCGCGCCTAAGAATCCAAAAACTTTGAGAAAACCGCAGGAGGCTTTCTCTCGAGGTTTTGCAAAGCGTATGGATGCGCAGGTACTGGAAAAGTGTTTGGAGGTTTCTGCTGGCCCGAAGGCATCCGAGTTGGCCGAGGACGGGATGAACTGTCCAAGAGTCCAACGTCAAGTATTGTGTCCTAGCACTTTGGTGCACTTTGTCCTAATCGAGCCGACCGGTAACAGCTGAGCTTAACGAGGACCGCGCGACATTGATGACGGCCTTCTTCTCTTCCTCTGCACGGAGCGCCAGCCCTCCTCTCTTGCAAATCATGCTGGCCTCTCGGCTTCAAATTGAAGGGCTCGGGGCCTCTGGTCCTGGAGGCTGTTTTTGGAGCGGTTCCTGGATAGCCCGCAGTTGAAATTTTAGCTCTCCGTAACGCTTACGATAGCTGCAGCGAGTAGCGAGTCACAATCTTCGGCTTGATTGTGATCCGAACCCTGCCCGATCGCAGGGCCAGTGTGAGTGCGGAACCCCGCGATGCGGCAGGACCGATTCGGGAACTACATCGTCCAACGCGTCATTGAGACCAGCACGGGTGCAGAAAAGGACGAGGTCAGGAACCACACTCAGCAACAAAGCTATGTCTGCTTCCCGGTCCATGAATCGTGGTTATGTCCTGCTGACATCGGTCTCGAACATTTGTTGCAAGTCAGCGAGACAAAAAAGTAGGTTGGTCTCCCAGTCGTGGTAGCATTGTCTTCGCAAGTAGTAGTCGCTAGCTGCTAGCTGTCATCATTGCCCGTCTTTTGCAGGTCAAGAGGCTTCTCACGCTTGCGTGGCCAAAGTTACAGAAACACAGCTGCAGCATAGTGAAGAGCATTCCGGCACAGACGAAGACACTACACTCGAAAATGGCACCTAGTATGACAGTATGACCGAGGAATGCTGCCGCTGGGAAGCACATCTTGTCCGCAGCAAACAAGAAGTTCTCGTTCAAGGTGCCGTCAGACCTTGTCTGATTTTCAGCAGTGGCTCAACAATCGCTGGCAAGAGACTTGCTGAAACGATGGGGCCGCATGCTCTTTGCAGATAATCCACGGTCTACCAGCAGGTTCAATGATGGCAGCGACGGTGTGGAGATTTGCCACTTGCTTTCGCGCATGGCTGCTGTGACTCTTTCTCTGTCGCACAGAGCAAGCGCCGGATGTGCAGTCGCCTGTTAGAAGCATGCTTTACAGCATGGCACTGATCCAAGATGATCCAAGGACAGGAGGTGAAGAAGGTGCAGCTTGCATAGCTCTTTCGTAATGATCAGCCAGTTCGCGACAGCGGCAGCCTTGAACTGAATTCACTGAGAGCCCCAGAATCAGGGACGTTGGGGAGGGCATGCAACCCGGAAGTTAACTGGAATCTAGTCAACTAGCGGCTAGTGTGCCTTCGCGATTTCTGCCCTAGACACAATGAGGGTTCGGATGAACTGTCGAAGCATGCCTTCTTCAAGCTGCACAGACCAGTTCAGGTTGGACGATAGAGAAACTGTTTGAAATCAAGCCCGTTTGAACAGCGCTGCTGTGTCTGCGACGTGGATGGACGCATTGACGTTGCACACCTGCAGCTTTTGCACAGGGACAAGGGCGAGGATCTGAAGAACAGTATGGCAAAGAATCGACTAATTCTAATTCTATCGCTTCCTTTTCCTATCTTCTCCTCATGGCCCGTGAACATGAACAGGGGGGTCTAACAGCGCCTTACCGCCCACGCGGTCCTCATCCCGGCACATCCAATCCGCCGGAGGTGGGGTCGTGTCGTGGACCAGTTTTGCCCTGGCGACGAAGTCCTTGTGGACTGCAGAAGCCCCCGACAGTGTCTGTGCCCATCTTTTGCACTCTCGGGAACCCTCCCGAAAGCTGGAGCTCTTCCGATTGAAGGAACAGCCGACAGCACTTGCCAAGATTTTAAGTTGCATTGGTCATGCTCACATGCTCCCTGGGTCCTTGAAGGCTCGACCTGCAAGGTGTGTCCTGCCTCTCATGGTCAGCCTTGGGATTCCTTTGGCACCGGAGCATTAGCTGCTCAACACCAGCCCAAGGCATCCAATTATGCGGAACTTCAGGGTGCTACCGGTAATCTTTTGATTTGAAAGTTTTTTTGACGGCACGCTTCGTGTGGCTACCCGTGGAAGCCGGGAGCGCCAGAAGCAGAAGCCATCACAATGGTACTCGCCAGAGACCGCGATATTTGCGCGCTGTTGTGACAGCTGTCGCGCTGCTTGCTGACTGCAACATTTAGACAAGTCCATGATTGCATTTCAGGTTGTCTTGTGAGGCTTTCGTTGATTGGAGCTGAAGCAGCAGCAAAGATGCGATTGTGTGCACGTCTACGCGGGTGTCGAGCTGGACGATGACATAAGTTGAGAGCTGTCGCTGTGGAGCGGGGTATCGTGTTGATTCCACGTCTCGTGGCTGGACTTTCAAGGACGACTGTGACTCCTTCACTGGACCTCGCCCTGACTTCCAAGGTACTGAGTCTTAGTTAAGACACTTGATAGCACTTATCAGGTGGCACGGCAGGGCACTTGTCAGGTGGCACAGCAGGGCCTAGGTTCGAATCCTCATCACGGCGCTTCTGCGCCTTCACAACTTCGAAGAGGCATCGTGGGTGGTCGGCGAGAAGGATTGAACCTCCTACTGTCACGGGACGTTTGTTGTTGCAGATGTTGAGACTTCCGTCTGGGACCCCACACACCAACGAATCATGTCAGATGCATGATGAGCCTCAGTGTTTACTTTTTTAATTTGCGTGCAGCAACTGTTTCAATGAATTCGACTTTGAGTAGGTATTCGGACGATCGCTGAGCAGGCAATCAAGACTTTCAGGGGGCAGACGCCTTTTCGGCGAAGGACAGCAGCCGACCGGACCGGCCAGGTTCGTAGGCAATTCTGAAGTGGAGCGGGATCGACACTTAACAAACATTGCCCAACATGGTTCCTTGCCTACATACGGCACTTCTGCGGTATGCATGCCTTCGCAGCGGAAGCTCAACGTCTTTGCTTGAAACATGGAGATCGCCCGGGTACGCCTTAAGGCCTGTTGCCAGATTAATCGTATCTGTGTCAGATAATGAGTGCATGTTAGTGGCGAAGATAGGGATGCCTTTGATGTGCACTGTCGTTCTGATCCAGTTCGTGATGGTTAGTGCGATCTGCAATATGATGGGTCGTTCGCTTCTCCATTTGGCTTTGTCTCGATGACAAGTTTGCTCGCTTGCATGTTGTTTGGTCACTTCCATTTTTTCGGTGCCTGCTTGTCCTAAGCTTGCCGTAACTTTAACAATCTAGTTATCATGCTCACTTGCGTATCGTCGTCTTCTGCAGCCGCTCGTATGTGAGTTTTAGCATTGCTCTGGATTGCTTGCCTGCTAGTCGGTGTTCAAAAGTTGGATCTGTCACAGGTGCGAACGCGGTGCATGCATGGTGTTTGAAAAAATTCGTTGCTTCGACGGCCTTTAAGCGGAGGCCACATTCGCGAAGGAGGGGCAGTGACTCATTGGTTCGAAGTTGTATGCAATGCAAACGTAATCTTTTTGGCTTATTGAGCTGACACAGGTTAGCAACCAACAGTGATCATCAAGGAAGAATGTGCAGCCACTGCCCAGCCCAGCTTTCCCAATGTGTTAGCTCGCGTGCTCAGGCGTTGCTGCACGAGGCTCGGGAATGCCGGACGAGAGCCGGTAACTTGTACGGGCAGTGCGGAGCGCAGCAGAAGAATCGGTGACACTTTAAACCAGACGAGGCGAGTCCAAGGCTCGGCCAGATTGAATGCCTTTGCGGCCTTGGGCTCGCGGTGACAGTGATGTCGATCCTGGCGCACACATTACGTTTTACTTGGGATAGCCAAGCTTGCACTTGCCAGCGAAATTATCGTTGTCTGTGCAGAACTCTCAACATCCTCCAGTCTTTCAGACCAGTGTGTATTCAGGTATGCGACGAGACCGGCGAGAAATGCCAAAAAGCTTCCAGTACTGCTCCCTCCCTCTCTCTCTCTGCCTTCCCCTACGTCTCTCCTGCCTCCGGTCCTTCTCCCTCCCTATCTTCACTTCGCTTTCATGGAGCGATGAGCCATGGGTGTGATTGATCGTTTCGGGGGTTGGCCTTGCGATCAAGGGTTGGGATTGTGAAGGAGTGAGCAGATTTGCCCCATCATGCATAGCTGTAGCCTGGAATGTCCAGTCTAAGCCATCGATAGCTACCTTATGATCTCTTGTTGTCTTGCATTCATGAGCAGAAGATGAAGCTTGCGGTGCCAGGGCGGGTACGTTCAGAGCAGCGGACAGACCCAGACATGGCAGCAAGATGCTGGCAGAGGGACGAGACCTCAGCTGCAATGATGCTCAGTCATGATCAGTCCAAAAATATCATGCAATGAAAATGCAATGATTTTGGCCGCCTGGTGCCCAGGTTTCTCTACAGCTACCAGGACCGGCACCATCCCTCGTCTCCACGGGCTACATAACTTGGTGCCTCTGCGTCACGGAAGACTTCAGTTCACTGGTAGTAATTGGCGGTCCAAGGGCTGCGACTCTTGGAGGTATCTTGAGCAAGTCCTTGCAGACAGCAGCTTATCCTGGTGCTGGGGGTGTCGGTATACAGGGAAAACGAGATTGGTTTGTTCTGCGTTGCCAGGACACCCCGTGCAGTTGAGTACCTGAGGCTTACGCTTGACTACTTAACATTGTAGCCAGGCTGGGTTTGGATAGTGTGTTGGTTGTCGTGGCAACTGCCGGTGCTGCTCTCTTGCCGGGTTCCTCTTCCATGTGTTGTACCGCCTTGTGCTGGTGGGAACCATTGTAAAGGTTTTTGGGTGGGAGCCTAAATGGCAGCGACATAGCAGATGGAAGGTACTAAGCAATTGATGACACAATCCCGGAGCTTCCTGATGATTTTTGCCACATCGGGAGCTGCAAGATCGATGCTGACTCACATCCAGGCCTGGAGGTCGATGGTGTTGGATGCATTGCCGGTGAATCCGTTGCCGGCCGTGCCGATGGTTGAGAAAGCACAGCCTGCACCCTTCAGACGTGGTGAAAGCCTTGCCATAGTCTTGCCCAGCGAGTTCTCCGGAGGGGATCTTGTCGTGGAGCACAAGGGAACATCAAAGTGTCCTCTCGCACGTCGAAAGTGTCGGCAGCCACAGCGATGGGGCCCCTGAGCAGCGTCGCATCCTCGTCAGTGTCATCGCTTTTGATCGCTCTTGTCTTCCGCATTGTAGAAATGCCAACGGTCTTTCGGAAGGGCTGCACGGAGTTTGGAACGGAGAGTGGAGAGTAGAGTGGACAGTGGTGTCAGTGCAGAGTGGCTTGAGTGGAGAGTGGAGCGGAGAGGGCAGTGAGAGGAGAACAGAGCGGAGAGTATTCGGATGTGTCAAGGTCGTCTCAGCCTGGACTGATCCGGCACATGCTGGGCGATAGAAAACACGGAAGGTCGCATCAAGCAGCGTTTGGTTGGTGATTGTTGTGGCCTTTGGTGTGTTTGATGGGGGGAGGGGTGCCTGGGTGAGTTTTTGTGCTCCATTCCAGTGCGAGTGCTGTTGGACTGGTTTACTCAGAGAAGAGCAATACGGCAAGCTTTAGACCCGTCCAGGAGGGTGCTGATGCTCCACGGTGGGCGATCGCAGAAAGCCGGGACGCGATGGTCGGTGGAAACCCTTGCTTGCGAGGCCACTGCTTAGTCTGTCTGAGCCTGAGGTTATTTCACTGAGTTCATCTGAGGCGTTTGGCCTCACGGTGGAGCACCACCTTCAGAGATGCGCTGGCAGCAGCTGGAGGGTGGGAATTGTGATGAAATTTGAGATCTTCATGTTTACATGATGCGGCTGCCAAATAACTTGCACAGACATTGAAAGCAAAGGGCAAGTTTAGAATTGGGACGGAGGCATAGCTGCCATCATTCAAGGGGACGTTGCTGATGTTTGTCAGGTGCGTGTGCTTGCGAAATCGACCGTGCATGGGGTATGGCTGGTTTTGCTATGTTGTGACGTTGCGGACGTTTGTCTCGATCACATGCTTCGAAACTGAGCGTCGCATCTGCGCTGGGAATGGCTGGTGCTGATGTGCTGTGATGCCACTGCTGCGTGTCTTGAGTGGGTGCCTGCAAAGTCGCGCATCTACATGGGGCATGGCTGGGTAATCATGTGTATTGCTCCAGCGAGCGCATCCTGGCAGCATTTGCAGAATCTACTTGGGAAAGCCATGCTGATATGACCATGATCTGACGGCATCGCATGGTGCCCGTCCCCTGAGCCAGCTGTGTTCCGAAGAAACGTGATACACAAAGACGGGCAAACATACCACCCAAGTAGGGCTAAAAAGTGTTGCTCAGAACCCAAGACCGGACAAGAAAGCGCAACAGATATCATATGCACATAGCAAGCTTCAAGTCATGAGGCGAAACGAAGTACAAAGCATCGCAAATTAGGCCAAAGGCTTCTTGTCTTCCTGTGGAATTTATCTAACAGAATCTAACCTCTGCATGAAACAGACAGGTAAATCAGGGAAGAGCCACAAAACACAACTCAGCATGTCCCGAGAAGGTTTTGGAATGCGCACCCCGAACTTTCAAGCTTGCTGCTGACGATGACGTGGTGCAGCGGCAATTTTACGTCACACGTGCCTTGCTGTTACAGTACATATACTGCGGACGGACATCTAAAGCAAACAGAAAGTCGCAGAACCCGCGTCAAATCAACAAATCTCGCATGGCCTACCAACAACCATCCGTTGTGGCATACAGTTCAACACCAAGTCGCTCCAGAACATGGCTGCTCCAGACCGCGGGTCGTTGCATGTCTTCATATCGGTGCACTCTTTGTCTTTGCTTTGCATGCTCGTTGCTTTGCCTCCCGTTCACGCTATATGCATGCATGCATGCATGCTGAAACGACTTGCGTGTATGACTGCACCAGAGTACATGGATGCAGCTACTAATGTTTGCTTGACCATCGTTTGCCTTTCTTTCCATGTTGGTCGTGGCAGGCGGTGTTTGGCGTGAGGCTGGGAAGACCATCGTGCTCGCGAGATTCTTGACTGCAACCAGTGCTGAAGGCAATGGAGTTGGGTTGGTATGGTTTGCCTTCTTCTACACGAATAGCTTTTACGTTCCAGTCCTGCCCGTGGGACCCTTGAGTATTTTCAAATTTTGATTTCCGCGTCTGTCTTTATCATATGTGGATTGCGAGAGCATCGGCAGAGCCCAAAAAACGCACGCACACAGGTCCGCGAGTTGTGCCTGCGGCATCGCCCTCAGCATGGCCTTTTTGAACTGGGCTGACACGGTGCTCTTGCACAGAGTTGCCTGTTCACCTGCCTCGCATGCAGTCATTTCTGGCCGTGTAGGCGGTGGAGGCAGACTCCAAACCGGAAGGTTCAGACTCTGCAGACGCAAGGCTCGTCGAGGTGGGATGCTGGTCGATGTTGATCGACTGCTTCCTGTGAGAAAGACGCAGAGTGCGAAGTACGTAGAACTCAAAATTAGAAGCTCAGGGTTTCTGACCGACTTTCCTAACCGTCCCAATCCAGCCGCCGTTGGCCGGATCGCAGGAGTCCAATCCGTCGCCAGAGAAAGTGCCGGCGCGATGCTCCCAGCACCACTGCTGGTAAGTGCGTGAAGCGCGAAGCTTTGGTAATGGCCTTAAGGTCTCGAAGCCTATACCTAATAAGCCGGCCGGGTTCCACAATGTTCTTCGCACATCCTTCTAGGCACAAGGCCTCTAATCACAAAACCTGTGTTAGACTTCCATCGAGGTGTGATGTGTTGGGGTGACTACTACAGTTGTTTGTTCACGTTTGCAATCCAATGGTGTGTGGCATTGGTGACAATTTTGGAGGAGGGGCAGTGAACTTAGGAAGGCCGCGGAGAAGCTTTAGAGTTTTTGGGAGGGTGCCGAGACTTCTGCCAAGGCCACAAGAGTCTCCACCAGACTGGTTTTCCTTGGACTCTTTGGCCGCTTCGAGGTACGTAGACGAGGCTGGGCTTCCTTTGAAAGAAAACGCGCTAATGTCCTCAGATGAAGATGTTATGAGTGGCTCCCAGGGCGATGCCGAGAAACCGGTGATGGAAGCTTATGCTACGGTCCCAGAGGCCTGTTGAGCCGCACGCTCTTTGTATAGAACTTCGTAGTACGAGTAGAAGCAAGACCAAGTGACAAGCATTGTGTAGCAAAGGAGAGTGAGAATTGTTGTCATTGCAAGAATCAGCGTCGCTGCGGGCTGTGCATGTGCGCAACACCACAGATGCCATGTTTGAGAAGGTGGCGACCCCGACCAGCCTGCAGGCATTGTCAGGACAGTGGCCGGACGAGCTCTTGTGAAGCGCTTGGCTTTCATGTGAGCCGCCAGGATCTGCGACCATACCTACCGAATTACGCAGACGTGTGTCGGAGGAGGCGGATAGCCCAAAGAACCATGTACTGTAGAGTCGATTGAGGTTGCTCCTCAGCTGAGATGTTCGTTGTTGTAAAATCGACAAGAAAAGCAGCCATGGCCACAACCAGCCTAGTGCTTGCTGTTGCGATGCGGGAGGCCAGTGTTTCTGCGACCTTCGGTAAGCAAACAACGCTTTCCTTATGCCCAGAGGTCGAAAACCTCCTCGCAAAAGCCAACTTGGACTTCATGCACGCGGCATCCTTGGATTCTGGGCACACAGAAGACTCTTGCCAAAGCATCTTTCACTTCCATGCATCCAGGCAAGCTTGGAGGGATAGGTTGAGGGAGCATATGGGCAGTTTCCCTTGGCTCAAGCCTCAAGACAAAGTTGCCTCATCACAGGCGTAGCATGTTCAAGAGAGCAGGGGCCGTCGATCGTTGCTCAGTGTGAGAGGAGATAAGGAGCTCTTGGAGGAGTGAAAGCAAAACATACTTTACAATGGAGTGTAGTGAGGCACTAGGCTAAGAAGCTCTAAAATCCACATCAGTCAATCTGAGCACTGCGTACTTGGAGCACATGTGTCTGGATGAGGTCAAGCACTTGAGTCCATGCCGTGAAAAAATCACATCCGTCGTCCGGTGGTTGGCCTTTTGCAGATTGGAGCAGACCTACTGACATTGACTGACGCGGATCACCCTCGTGGGCTCTTGAGCCAGATTGCGTCACTGTGAGTGGTGGGGCGAAATCCATAGCCATGCCAGGAACGACAGGGTAACGCCGCTCGCTTTTGTTGCTCAGCCTCCAAGCGGTTGCTAGTGTCCCGGAGAACAGTACTCGAGGATTTTCCGATGCCTATGCTGCCCTTGCGCATGCCGGCTGCTTCGTGAAGAAGGGCGACCTTGTGCTCGCAGTGAAGCTGACCTACGACGGCAACAAGTTTGACATTCCAGGTGGTCGAACTGATGGGCACGAGCCAGCAACGAAGACGGCCGAGAGGGAGACCTGGGAAGAGTCGGGATATTCCGTCGAAGTAGGAGAACTCCTTGCAACGGTTCGGGGAGGCTTTCACATCTTCAGGCCGGCTCTTCCCATGAAGCTACTGAAATGTTCCCAAATCTGAAAACATGAGACTGAGACGAGATGACGTGAGGTGCAGACTGAAGGAGCAGAACCCGGGCAAAGGGCCGGACCACGAAGTGTCCAGTGTGCAATGGATACATCGGGCTAACCTTCCGGATGTTCGACAAGCGCTGGTGGCGTTCGTCACAGTGCCTGTATGTCTCCTTGCCGTTTTTGCCAGCTTACGGGCACGGAAATTCGCCGATCGTTCCGGAATATACGCGTGAATATTTAGTCCCTATTAGCCCCAGACCAGCTGGATGTGCACACACGGCTGAGATTCAGATGTCGACCACAGTGCACGTGCAACGTGTAATGCATGTTGGGATGTTGGCGCGGTGAGAAGCCTGGAATGCTTGAACCGTCCCGTCGACTGATCTCTTGGTCCACATGCGACATCCTGGAAGTTTCACACGGACCTTGCGAAACAGGAACCTCATCTCGCAAGTCCGAGTCTGAGAGCACAAAGCTGTTCAGACAGCGCGGCAAAGAGAGCGCTTGGCCAAAAAGGGCAGGCCTTGGGATGCTCAGCGGTCCATCTAAAGCTGGGGGGTCATTGGTTCATATCAGGCTGCCCAATCACCTTCGACATTGTGAATAATTTGTCAGTGCACCCGCCGGTCTTCACGAACCCATGTTTGTCCATAGCCTTTTTCAAGACCCTGACCCGGCTCACAAAGGCCCCCGTGGCTTCAGGTATCTTTGGGTTTTCGGATGCCCAGCTCCGGGTGACGAACTAATACATTATGAATATGGCATCCATGCATGGCTGCTGAGACAGACGGTTCTCAAATTCACGCAGATCTTGCTTACTCAGGGGGACGTGGATACGAACGGCTTGGTGGAGGCTGCGCGGGTGGACGGTTTGAATGCAGTATGAACCTGAAGCCTGACACATACGACTTGGACAGCGCAGCAGCGGCCAGCATCGGATAGTCCACTGCGAGAGTCTTCACGTAGCGCATGTGAGTGTGCATGCAAGAAATTGATCCAGCGTTCCAAGTCCGTCCAAGACAATATCCTGCACAGCTCCTCCGTTGCGGCAGGATTGCTGCTTGGCGCTGCTCCACGCGCATGATGATGGCACTGAGATCTCGCACGATCGTCTCTCTGCGGAGGCCTGTGTGTGCCCACGGAAACTGGTCAAGCTTATAAGGACTACTCATACCGAATCTCGAGGCCAAAGAAAACCTCCCTGGTCCTTGTGAGGAAATTGTAGATCGCACGAGAATCTTGCTCAAACCTAGATGCCAGGTTGTGCGGACCATTCTTCAAGGTGGGCTCTTGACTTCACACGACGGCATAAGCTGTCCCGACACTTTTTGGCGAGGACGCGCAGAGTTAGTGTTTGGAATCCGTGTGGCTTGTTGCCCGCAGGCTGGGACCAATTCCGCAAGCGGGGCTTGGAGGCCGAGCCACAAACCGCGCGGTTCTGAGCATCCTCGGCCGAGCATTGCTGTGGTTTTTCAATTTTCCATGCGCTGCAGACATCACCGCAGCATGAACCGCTTCTGCGGTGTGCATACGTAGAGCCATGACCGGCGGCTGAAATAGGGGTCGGCTGATGCACAGCGGGCTAGGAACCAAAAGATGCTCAGCTCATAGCTGGTTTGGTGTTGATGCTCATGGTGCCGGTACCACTCTGATGGGAAGGGCATGCTCCTGTTGCTTGTACTGGGCTTCTAATTCTCTACGTGCCTTCAAGAAGCTTGCAGTGATACTCCTGAGAGCTGAAACGGCGGCTCGGAGAAGTTTGCCAGATTTGCGTGTAGAAGTTGGCAACAGAAGTGCAGACCGCACTGTATTATAGTTGGTTGTGCAGTTGTTCGTGGTGTCGTTCCCAGCTCGCAAAGCACAGGGCCGGGCGGGGAGCTGTTCCACCGGGGAGGGGGCGGATGACCACATGCAGAACCATTGCAGCCACTGTATGCCACTGTATGCAGTATTTGCTTCAGACTTCTTCAGACCCTCCCGCTGCGGTCATGCTGACATAGTGTCGATTTGAGGTAAGCCAACGCAGTCGCTTCCGAGCCTACATCGACGCCCACGAGGCCGAGCAGTCGGCAAACATGAAAGCATGCATGCGATTGGTTTCTTGAAACCATGCGAGGCCATGCCACGAGAACCAGACCTAGAGGACCACATGCATCCGTCCTCTGTGGCCGTGGCAAGTTGCATCTCAGCCACTGCGCATATGAAAGCTGATCCGTGCCAGTGCACTTCTTGGTCCTGCCAGGTCTGCCTCCACGACTCCAACTCTTGCCTTGTGATGTCATGCCGGAACTCGATGGCCTGTGATCCTTGCCAAGTATCCTAAAAGTTCGAGTGCTGTTACGCCGGTCTGGCAAAGTCAGACAACGCCGTGACGCTTGGCTCCAAACCGTTCTGTTGGTCCCGCGCAGATCAGAGCAGGTGTGTTTCACGCTTTGAGCGAGCCTTGGTCAGGACATCGACTACAATCCAATTCCAAGTGTAAGAGAACGAAAGTTTATTGATTTGGCTGGTACAATAGCAACCGTGAAGCACGAGCGGACCTATTTTCAAGGAGGTTGGAGCTGCATCTGCGACGAAATAAGATGAAAGCGGCGTGGTGCTATCACAGGATAATCAGCCTGCCAGCACGATCAGTAGCCTCAGCAGCCCTGGAGCAAGGCCTTGTTTCCAATTCGCAGAGAGGGATGCGAATTGAGGTCATCGCTTGAAGAAGTTCATGATGCGACCCGGCCTTCCACGGCCGGAGCCATATGCGAAGCCTTGCTGTGAATCCGCCCGGGCCAGCTGCCAGCTAGTTGGGCCTTCAGACCCTGCTCAGGCCAAGCACTCAGAGCCTTCCAGCGTGGACCGAGGCCTGTGTGTGCGATAGGAGGCTGCAGGCATGTCGGAGAACTAGGACCAGGAAGCAGTGCTAGGTTCAGTTCGCTGGAGGAAGCGGCCCTCTGACGCCATGGTTGTGGCAGGCAGCACCGACGGATGGGGATCGATCTGTGCTGCCCAACCTTATCGTCATGCAGCGCAGGACAGCACTAGGGCATGGCAAAGAGCTCTTCAGCTTCTCGCACCCGGTGCAGATGAGAAAAGGTTCTTCGATGTTATCTGTGTACTGGGGAATGCCTGGCAGTGGCGTTTCGCAGTGGAAGTCCTTGACTATATGGCCAGGGCCAGTGCGCAGGCCACGGTCTTTTGTTTCACGGCGGCTTTAAGTGCATGCGAGAAGGCTACTCGTTGGCAGACCGCCGTCCAGCTGCTGAATGACATGGGGCATGCGAGAGTTCGACCTAACATTGTCACCGTCAATGCCCTGATCAGCGCATGCGGGAAAGCCAGTGAATGGCAGCTTGCAATGCATGTCACTTTCAGCATGCAGAGGGCAGAGGGACTTAGGGCGGATCAGGTCACATACTGCGCTGCCATCACCGCGTGTGAGAAGGGGCTCCGCTGGCCACAGGCTGTTCACATTTTTGCTTCAATGCCCCGCGCCAGGTTGGTGCAAGACGTGGTTGGCTTTAGTGCCACCATCAGCGCATGTGAGAAGGGCGGGCAATGGGAGATGGCCCTGGGCCTGCTGGCACAGATGCCAATTGCAAGGGTCACACAGGATGCCGTCTGCATCACTGCCGTCATTAGCGCCTTTGAGAAGGGCACACAGTGGCCCCTGGCACTCCACCTTTTGGCAGCAATGCCGCAATTCAGACTCATCCCGAACGAAGTCAGCTTCAGTGCTGCCATCAGTGCTTGCGGTAAAGGAGAGCAATGGCAAAGAGCTCTGCAGCTGCTCTCCGATATGCCGACGGTACATGCTAAACCCAACCAGGCCACTGAGCTTCGTTATGCTCCCATTTTCGTTCCATGAGGGTTCAGTTTGGGTGGGTTTAGGGAGCGGGCCCACGACCGCAAAGCATTCCTCTTTAGCTACCTACCTGCCTGCCTGCCTGCCNNCCTGCCTACCTACCTACCTAGCTACCCGGCTACCTAGCTACGGAGCTAGCTAGCTAGCTAGCTAATTACCCAGCTAGCTACCTCCCTGCCTAACTGCCTACCTGCATACATTCATACACGCCTGTGAGGATGAGGGGTTTGTAATGCTCTCGGAACTACGGCCTATTCATGAGGAGCTTACTGGTTGGGTCAATGCCGGAAAGTCCTGCATCGCGGTAGGTAATCCCCAAACCCATACTCCACCTTAGGGACCCATGGCTCATCACGGCCACTACCACGACGAATAAAGTTGAATGTCAATTTTCATTGAGATTGAACTCGATTTTCGGCCTTTCTTCATCCTCGAGCCGGCACCCCCGCACAGGCGGGTTATGGATGAAATTCGAATTTAAGACTTTCTGGTATGGCCCCTTACTTACAACACCGAGTTAGACGCGAGTTTTAGTCGCTAGCTTGGCGGGACCTTGCCCGTGCATAAACATGGGTTAATTCGAGTATATTCGAGTCAATCCTGCTTAGAAAAGTAGAAATCGCAATTCACTTTCATACCCACTTCTGCTACGACGACAGCAGCGACAGCAACAACGACAGCTGCTGCTGCATTGCAGCTGCCGCTCCGACTGTTACTTCTGCTCCTAAGACGGCTACTCGGTTACTACTACGACGACTACTGGCACTGGCACTACTGCCAGTGCAACCACTACTACCATCATACCACCAAAACTACCACTACCACCCTTGACACTAGTACTGGTGCTGGCACAACTGCTCGTTATAGTCGTCGTCAGCAGCAGCAGCAGCA